CTTTTTTTTTTTTTTTATTTAGGGGGAGGAAGAAAAATGTCACAGTGAGCAAAGTTCACGTGTTAACCTGGAAAGGATCCAGGCTCGGCGCTAGAGAGGGAGCAGCTGCACACACCTGTGCAGGCAGGAAGCTCTCCCTGCTCCAGCCCTGCCGCTGAGCGGGCGGCCCAGGGGGGCTGCATGTCCCAAATGCGCTCGGAGAAGCGTCCGGTTTGTTCGCCAGAATGTCCCCAAAGCCTGCTGGCAAACTTCAATGATGAGAGCTACTAATTAATCCACCCGCCGCTCCTCCCTCATCCGAGCTACTGCCCTGAGCTTACGATCGAACTGGTTTTACTACCGTGAAAAGCCTATTACTCACAATAGAGCCGGTTATAAAACTGAGATAGCAATAAACGAAGTAAAACAAGGAACTTCAGTCCTTAAAAAGCTTCTCAACCACGAAGGAACAGAAACCTTCAAAAATGAGCTGAAGGATGAACACCAAATCATCACTTTCAGCTTACCAATACAACAGGTGTCTGGAAGCAAGAGTGAGTGAACAGAGCTACTCAAAATAAGTAAATAAACAAAAATGGATCTTACTCCATTCTGTCAAAATAAATGAAAAAAAAAAAAAAAAAAAAGGTAAAATTCATTGGCCAGAGAAAGCAGGAGATCTGAGCAATTTCCTGAAAGAGGGGAGGCCTGGACTCTTGATTTTTATTTTCAGCGAAGAATTCCTGCATATTATATATATGTCTACAAACAGAAACAAAACCCAACCCAAAGCCAAAAAGCCTTCCACATTCCACATGCCTTAGCATATCCAAAAACTTCACACATGCCAACTAACAGCATTATTGCATTGCTCAAACCTGCACTGCAGGTGAATGAACATGTGCACATTTGTCACTGTGATGGATTTTAGAAAGGAAAAGCCACTCTCAAAGAAAACAATAAAAGTCTGCTAGGTTTCCACTGCTAATTCCTTTCAGGAATTTATGAAGTTGTTTATTATAAATTGCCCATACAGGAAGAAGCAGAAAAATGGCAATAACAATGTCAGAAACAAGAACTCCAATTCAAATATTCCAACCCCACTCAGAACGGATATGCACACAGTTCAAACAGGAATCTCACACCAGATTTTGTTAAAAACATTGGAAAGGTACACACTCCAAAACCCAGCACTGCGATTAAGGCAGAACATCTTTAAAAAGCCCTAGTACTGAAAAGTGAATTCAAGGAAATGAGCTTTACAAACACGCAGTGTAATTGCTCGTACATTTTTTTTTAACCTACTTGTTTTCAACTATAAAGGTCTGGTTTCAGGACTGCTCTGGACATCCCACCCACTGATTTGTCTCCCAACCTTTACATCCCTTCCACTCCCTATCCAATGCAATGACACTGCCACACTAATACCCAAGCATGTTTTGGAGGCTTTTAAGGGGTTCCTCTCAGCTGAGGTTGTCTATTCTCTTTCTTTTAAAGCAAAATTATGCAGGTGGAAGTCAGCACCAAGGACTGCACCTTCTGGGACAGACTGTCTCAGACTGCTGGTTAACCCATCAAGTGACTGGGAAAGTGTCCAGGTCCCAGCTGGCACGAGCATCCAGGCACCACCAAGCTCTCACCCTTCTTCAGGATCAATAGGCAAAATGCTTGGGTAGAATCAAATAAAACCCAAGCAAAAAGTTACCATAAGATGATATAAAGTACCAAGCATCAGCATTTCATCAGTACCCACAAGAAGCTTCCATACATTTCCTTCTCCACTGGAGTTATTTCAAAGTTGTATGGTGCTTATCTCACTTACACTGTACAATAAAAATAACGCATTTGAAAACACAGCCTCAGCTTCCTCTGCTGCAATTCTGACAGCAAAGACCCAATTGCTACTACTACACGAAACATAAACCTGCTACCACTATGTAAAATTATTTTGCAATGTTTTGAAGACTTAAGGGGGAAAAAAAAAAAAGACATAATCAAAAAGAAAGGAAGACATAATCAAAAAGCTATTTCCTGCTTTAACAACTCCAACTGAAGTTGACAGCACTTAGTCATATCTCAGACAGAAGAGACACATTTGTCAAAGCACGCAAAAGTCAAAGCATGAGGAGTGGTTTAAAATGTCAGTAAATCCAGTGTATAAGCAGAGCCCAGCAGGAGGGAGCAGAAGGGACTGATCTGCTTTAGCAGTCGTGATATAGTCCGAATCTGGGGCATCCAACATATCCAGGCAGCACAGAGCAATAATCCTCCTGTCGGCATTTTGCTTGTCCTTCAAACAGCCAGGAACCAACCTTGTGCTGCCTGACAGCCAAGGCCAGTTGCAGCTGGCACCAAGGCAACAAGCTCCTTTCCTGCCCTCAGACAGGATGGAGAAGAGACAAACTAGCAAAGCTAGCAAAACCAAACTAGCTGGAATTAGAGCTCCCCCCAGTTCTCCTGAAGTTGATGGAAATCAAAGGCTTTTATTTCTTTAAAATAAGAACTTCATTTATCTTCTGTAATAACATTTAGCCTTCAAAAAGAAGACACGTCCATCTGCACCCAGTTTAGTCTGTCGTATTTATTATGTTTTTAAATATTTTACACATGAAGGCAATCTAGTGGGTAGCACATGCACTTTCAGTTTCCAATGTTAATCTTTCTCAGATCAGCACAGATTACAATTTACCATCCAATTTCTGTGTGGAGAGGTTATATCCTGGCCTCGGTTCAATTCTTAACAAACCAATATATATATAGCACCAAAAAAACCACCACAAATTTAACCATGCAATGGATTCAGCCCAGATCCCCATTTAATGCATGAAATTACACTCATAACAGGACAGTAAGACTATCCTTTCAGAAAGAAATAAATATTCAAATACAGTCCCAGAATTTTGCAATCAAACTTGCAAAACTTGGTGCAACCCTGTCCACAGCGATGTGCCCTCTCTGATTACATTTCTACCCCATACACATGAAGTTGCCCCTCAGTCCTCCTGGCCTGCTTGTCCTTCCAGCTCTTTCCTTCTCACTGCGCCCTTCAGACCTTTATCCTCCTTTCCCTTTTGTGTGGGTCATGAGAAGTTGGCAATATTTGTCCCTCTTTGGCATCCTTACTGTTATTACCCCTCCCAGTTGTGGTGGTGGTAAGCTACTGGGCACGGCAGAAAACAAGTAAATCCATTTCTCTAGGGACCTTCCTCATTCACAAGGCCGAAGTACAACCCTGCTTCTGCTTGTTTCCACCTCCCTCCTGCACTTCACCCACACCTTGAGGGTGTTAACACCACACCAGGCCAAGCTGGGGTGTTTTAAGTTTAGTTGCTGAGGCTTGGTACTTGCAGCAGCCTGGTCATAGCAGCATTTCATAGATCCTGCAGTATGATCCAACAACCTACTACAGCAACAAATGAGAACAGTTCTGGATGAGACAGAAAAAAAAACACCCACTGTTCTGCAACCCAGAAACAGTCTTTCGAACTATCTCTACCTGTAAATTAACTTTTAAGAAGAGACTATAATCAAACTGACCTTGAAGAAAACCCATGACTTTCACTCCCCTAACAATTAATGCTTTCCCATCATCTCATCACTGCACAACAGCTTTCCACTCTAAACGGACCATCTCGGAAGAAAAAGTTCCCAGGATCAGCCTCATAACTGCACTCAGCTCCAGCACTAAAAAGGAAAGTTACCCCTATTGTCATGGAACCAAAGTGATAACTTTCTTCTGCACAACTTCCTTTCCACTCCTCCAAACTCCTATGCCTTCCAGAAAACTGTCTCCCCATAATTCAGGATATCCAACCATGCCATGCACATACTGAACAGCTGTAGGGTTAAAAATACCTGCAGCTGAGATGCCAAGGTGGAAATCATTTTAAACCAAGTTTATAAAAGCCACAGCTGCAGAAGGGCAAGAAAACAACCCATCAAGTTTGGTAGTTAACATGGAAACACATCACATCCAACCCCTCTTTGCTGTTCAGCAGAAAGACAGTGTTGATAACACAAGCACCAGAGAAGAGCCATGTCTAAGGCTTTCTTCCTATACAGCACTTGAGTGCTAATTAACCTCATCAACACAGTAACCATCAAAACACCACTTAGGGTCAAATACTATTTACACAGGACTCAAAACCCAAAATGGACTTTGAAAGAAACTACCAAAAATTTGAAAATATTACACAAGTGAAAGGCATCCATACAAACCAGACCGTCTCTGAGAGCAACTGGATTATTCCCATCAGCTTTAAAAGGAAAATACTTAAAACTCTCTGCAGTAAATCAAATATAAGTAATTTCGCTTTTTTGGTAATATGAACAGAAAAACTGTAAAATTTAAAGTAAATATGTATAAAGTGTTTACAGCACTGGACAACCTTCAACCTTCCTCTCAGTTTTAACAATATGAAAGTATCACAGTAAGATACATTAGACAGTTCTCGTTTGCAAAGAATTTCACTTCAAAAGATGCAGAAATATCTAAATTCACTTGGACTGTACAGAAGTGTTACACCAAGGAATCCTTGCAAGTTACTAAAAATGCCAGAAAGCATAAAGAAGCAAAGCACATCTCCAATACTTGCATAGTTTAGATGGAAAAATATCTCCAGCTCAGCAGACTCAACTTCCCACTTTCCCAACTCTCTCATGACCTGATTGTCTTCTGTAGAGGTAGATTTAGGGGTTCTCATGGTCTTGGCTTTTTTTTAATCAGTTCATCTCACTAAAGCAGATAACCATGGCTCCAGGCAATTTAGTGCACTGCAGAATATATAGCGTAAGGATACAAACCAAAACAAATGCTAAAGTGAACAAGAACAGACAGCAGAACTCAAATAAAAAAAAGTTTTCAAAAGTATATTAAAAATAATGTCATCACCTAAAAGATCTTCCCATTGAAAAAAAAAATCATCCTGTTACAAATACAAGTAATGTGTATTCTAACCATTTCAGTAATAATGAGCCTGATACACTATCACAGTAAGACCCAGCAAATGCAGAGAACTCACCTTCACAAAATTGTCAGGGAACATGCCCCTTTTGCCATTTAACTCCCCTTCTAACCATCCTTCTTCTTCCAGTTTTTTCACATTCCTGATGATTTCCCCAGCTCGGATCGTTAACTCATCATCATGCACTGCATCATAGTCATATTCCACGATATAGTCCACTAAAAGAGAAAAAAAACCCCACAGTGAATACAATCCAGTCTTGGAAATGCATCTTGAAAGCCACATATGTGCATAAGGCAGACCTAACCACAAATGCTAAGAACAAGTGTTTTTCCCTTAAAGCAACATTCATTTGTGAATTGCAGCATTCTCATCTCTGTTGAGGTGGGGAAAAAAAACTGGACAGTTGCCTATTAGAATAAAGTAAACGCAGGAATATGACAACAGGTCATATTATGGTGGTGGCGGGTAGATTTTTACTCATATGTGGTGGAAGGAATTGCTGGCAGTGGTTCCCCCCCACCCCCAAGCCTAGCTGGAGATTTACCAATAATGAATCACTGCCCACAAGGCAAGTGCTTGTTACTCAGTGCATATCTGGGGCCAAGGAAGGAGAAAGGTTCAAACACTGTATGCAAGGTATGTACATACGATGCTTTGTTAATTCTCCTACCTGAACCTGCAACTCCATCTGCAAAAACTGATTGCTGCACACACAGTGGTTTTGCAGGTTTGATCCAAGAAATGCAATACAGCCAGAAAGTGTGTGATTGACAACATCATGCAACTTAAATTGCACAGACAAAGGCAGCCTCCTTCAGAGTCATCCCGTTTGTATGAAGTAGAATAAGCAAGTGAGCTTTAATTTTGATACACTTAATTTACTCACAGGAGTATAGCAATGTACTTACATATTTGTCCATCTGTTGCACAAGATCAATGAGTTGCTCACTGACAGCTTAAGGCTCGTTTGGCAATAAAGACTCATTTGTTCATCAAGAAATTCTGTTCATGCCAGAAATTTCCACAAACCTGCAGTAGTCAAATAATCTTCCCTCACTCAAATTCAGTCAGATATTCAGGCACTGCCAAATGTTAACACTGTTCTCACTGAAACCTCCTCCTCTACAGAGCACAAGGAACACACACAATGACAGAAGCATAACAGGGTTAAAAGACAGAAATCCTGAAGGGCTGTAGAAGTTTGGGGTTTTTTTCCCTAGTTACTCCATTCTATCAGTGCATAATGACATCCAACAATTAATTAAAAAATGAAGGAATCAAATGGGAAGAAGTATTATTTCCTTGGTATTGATCTTACAGCTGCATTAAACCAATGTATAATTCTGATCTGTGGGCAATTCTGATCAAAAGTTCAGCTTCAGTGATGTTGCCATGAAGCCTTTTTTCCTCTGCTGCCTATGGATGAAGTCAGAAAACCCTTAGTAAAAAACAGAACTACATGACAGTGGCATGAATGCAAGAGAAGCTTGAATGATCTGCCTGGCGAAGTATTTCCTAGCTATAACCATCAACAAAGGAATCAGTCAAACATAAAGATCAAGACTTAGTTTTGCTTTTTTTCCTTTAAAGACAAATTTATTTTCTTCTCTTGAACAGAAGGCAGCACCAGTTACCTGCTCGTAATACACAATCTGAAACTCCTGGCATACACTTTCTTATTTTTGCCAAATGTATTCTCTAAACTTGTTTCAGAGGATCATATTCCCCCCCTTACTGCCTGCAGCAAGTAGAGTAGTTTTGTCTTGCTTCTGCATTGAATTGTCTTTTGAGTGGCTGACATGAAATACTGCCAAACATACAGGAAATTCTGGCAGCCACAGATCATAAAGACAACAGCCATTCATCATCTACGGTCTTGAAATAAAAGTGTCATCTTCCAACCAACTCGACCCAGCCATTTTGGGAACTTACAAATGCAGAGAAATGTAAGAAATATCCACGTCACACATTTCTCTCAGGATACACTCTGCTTCGAAACACATTAGCAGGTAATATATTTCAATATACACACTACAGGACAGCTCTACGAAGTTAAACATGAGAAATGGATCAGAATAGAGTGTCAGTCATGGTAAATGCTCTCAGCACTGCAGACTGCGACTGAGCTGCCAAACACCTGGGCCTTTTTCCACAGCAGTAGTAGATAATCACACTCACGCTGTGTCAACACAAACCAATTCTTTCGAAAGCTTATTTATTCCCTTGGGAGAACATTCCTGTATTTGTGTTTGAAATGAACAACATGTTTATTCTGGTCACCTTTCCAGGCTGTAAAACATGAGTTCGGTCATGCCAACAACCAGCGCAGGGTTTGAAGAACCTCCCAGTCACCATCCACGTGTCTCTGTGTTCCAAAGACAAACAGCAGTAAAAGGACATCAGTTTTTTATGTTTGAAATTTAGGTGCTGAATTTCCTCTTTTATTTGTCAGTGATGCTCCATGCCACCCTCACTCTCACGGATATGTAGACAAACCAGACGCAAATTCTGTTGTCTCGTCTGTAAAGTGGAAGGGATTGTGGGAGAATGCCAAAATAGTTTTATCCCAGAACTTTTTTTCATATGATGGCACAGAAATGGCAAGAAGCTACACATCTCCCACCTAGCTACTATGTGACCATCAAGAAGAAGTCATCAGTTTTGCTTTTCAGTACTAGCAAGCAGCACGAATCATTCAGGTAATTTGGACTTCAGTGTGATGGGCAAGAAACCGTTTACTGCCAAAACAGTCCACATTAAATAAGCCTCTGAAACATCTTCGAGTATAAAGTATAATATTTACCCAAGTAAAAACAGTATCCAGTGATGACAGAAAACGTTAAGGCATCACACTCCTTATAACAGCAATAACTAGGAATTACATTAGTCCATAGACTGTACTTCTGAAGGCGTGAAGTAGTTCTGAATGCTTTTGAATGTTTCAAGTTCTCACTTAAGAGGTTTACATAAGAACAGATATGCTGTGATCAGTCAGCAATAAGCTAGACTCCAGTTCAATCATATGAACTGGTCAAACCTTCTAAAAAACAGTCTCAACTGGTAGAAGGTGAAGCAGAACTCCTCAGCAACATAAAATACCAAATCCACCTATCTTACCTCCCCTCGGTTTTTTTACACTGCTTTCACCATTTCAAACCCAACTCAAACCAAATATCTATACTTAGAAGTCCATAATGACCACGTCATGGATGAAAAATAGTCTTCTCAAGCCTGAAGAGGAACACTGTGAGGTTTACTGTGCTTTTCTTGCACATCCACATACACCAAAGCTCACCTGAGAGGGAAAAAACTTTCTCCTCAGTTTTCACAGGCAGAATGGGTCATCCCAAACCATCTCCTACACTGCATGGAAAGAAGGTATCTTGATCCTACATCTCTAACACATAAGTGGCAATCTTGTCTTGGCAAGAATTCAAATATAAACATAAAGACAGCACCTGGAAGATGCTTCCAACCAAGGACAGAGGGAAGGAAACAAAACAAATGACAAGCCACATCACACTCAGGTTGATAAGGACATTAGAGATAATAAATTATAACAGACTAAGAACTGACAGAACAGATTTACAAACACAAGACTACATTCAGTGCCCTGGTAGCAGATGAGGGGCTGGAATATGTGCAGTGAAGAATCAGAGGCAATTGAGCCATTGCCACTGAAAACAAACTGACAGAGTACAGGTCAGAGGAGTATAAAGTGTGGACTGGACACTGTCCAAAATGCCAGGCTTAAAGGGTTGTGGACATGGTCCAGCTGGTGGAGAATCTCCAGTGGTGTGTCCCAGGAGTCAATCCTGAGTTGTTCAGTGTCTTTATTAATGACCTAAATGATGGGACTGTTGCACCCTCAGCAAGTCTGCAGATGATACAAAGCCTGGAGGAGTGGCTGATGGACCAGATGTGCTGCTATTCAGAGGGACCTCAACAGGCTGAGGAAATGGATCATCAGCGACCTCATGAAGTTCAAAAGGGAATGCCAAGTCCTGTCCCTGGGGAGAATCAACCCCATGCACCAGTACAGGCTGTGGACTTTCTGGCTGGAAAGCAGCTTGGCAGAGAAGGACCTGGTGGACACCAAGGTGACAGGAGCCAACAACGCATCCTGGCAGCAAAAGGGAATCAAGAGCAGCTGGGGCTGCACTAGGAGGAACACTGTCACAGGTCAAGGGAGGGGATCTTCCCCTCTGCTCTGCACTGGGGAGACCCAACTGGAGTGCTTGGTGATGTCCTGGGTGCCCCAATACAAGATAGAAATGAAAATAATGGAGTGAGCCCAAAGGGCCATGAAGATCACAACATAACTTAGGGTCTGGAGTACCTTCCTACAAGGCACAGTTGAAAGAGCTGGGAGAAAGCTCAGGGAAATCTTACTGATCTGGGTGTGGAAAAGACTGAGCAGTGCCCAATGAAAGCACAAGAGGCAGTGGGACAAACAAACCACACAAGTTCCACTTAAACACATATAAACACATTCTGTCATCCAGCCACGACAGCTTTCCAACACAATTAGGGAGCCTCCCATATGGTGCTTTTTGAAGGTTCTGACCCATTTTCAGGGGTAAGGGATTGATTAAATCAACACAGCTAAGGAAAAAAATATTGACTGGATATCTTTGGGGGAAGGTGGTTATAGCAAGCTTTTGGGAGCAGTCTGCTCAGCTCTCGGTTTCCAGTGAGATGACAACCTCAGTAAGGAAATAAAACAGACCAAACATATCAAAGCCAGTCAGCCCAGTCAACAACTACAGACCACGTTATTCCCCACAGCAAAGATGAAAAGTGTCTTATCCAACCCCAGCGCCTCTGACAAAACAGCTCCCACTGCCAGCCAGCACAGCAACACTGCCTGCTCGAGGCATTCAGTCACTGCTGGCACAGGTGGACTCTCCACTTCTCCAAAACTTACACAACTGGCTCTTCTGCCAACCACGTCCCAGTGCCAAGGCAGAAGGAAGTCTCCCAACAAGCACAGTCATAACACCGATCTTCACTGATTTTAAACAAAGGAAGTCTTCAGCTACTCAGAGTCTTTCTGAAGTTGGCTACTATAGGTATCTAAGGCCCTCTGGGAGCCCTAAAACAGAAAAATCAATAAATAAACCAAGGAAAAGAGTGGTAAATATATCAAAATTCTAGTGTGCCTGTGTCTTCAACAGAAATAACCACATGTCAGATAATCACCCAGCAAAGATGACAACTTCATATTCTTGGTACTTTGTCTAAGGTATTACAATACTGTCAGAATCCAGATTTTAATAGTTTATAAAATTAAAAAAAAAAAAATTCCATATACTGGGAAGCCTTGCTGAAACTTGCTGCAGACTTGGAGGGACAGAGTCCAACATGAAGCAGCAAGAGTTGCTGCCATGCTCCATAAAGGTCTCTTCAGGCAGGTTTTAGGTCAGTTCAGATGTAAAGTCATTTATTGGAACGTGAACCCTGGAAAGTTGTGCAGCCTCCAGAAGCACCTTGGCAGCAGAACTGCAATTATACTAGAAACTGAGCTTTTGCTTTTCCAGTTTATCATAACAGACAGTTGCTAGATGCCTAAAACTTGCTGTTGTTTCCAGCTGTACATTTATCACAGAAAACCCTTGAAGTTTAGTGTCCTACAAAACCAGGATAACAATTCTGTTATTATGTATGAGTACATACACACAATTACAAAGGTATTTTGTCTCATAGCAGACAATGTTTACACTAGAGACAAAAGACCACAGAAGGTACAAATCTTGCATTTATAACTATCATACTTTTCTCCTGAACTATTTCAAAATCAGGTACTCCTTCCAACTGCTTTCCCACAGAAGCATTCCTACAATTTGTGAGCTATAGGAAGTCCAGCTGTTTTAACAGCAATACCATAGTATATGTTTGGCCCCTTAAGACACCTCTTAACATTGAAAAAGTAGTTCAGGTGTTTAAATGCTGAACAATGAAAACACCTCCAGAACTGTAAACATAAGTAGTGGTTATAAGAATGTTTTCTTTCCACTTCAACACCATATAATTCCCTGTTACCCTGACCTGAGTCACTGATGACAACCCATATGCTCAAATAAAGAGGCCTGGCGGACTCCCCATTGCCCTTAAAATTCTAGTTTCTCCTCCCAAAACTGCACAAGTTTGTCATCAAAGATCTCCTGTAAGACACAGGCACAAGGTGAGCACCAGGGTTTGGCAACCAAAGACAAATCCCTGCTGGCCAAGGGCCTCCACTGCTCCTTCCTCCACGCTCTGCACCTGCTCCTGTGATTCCCTCTCCTGTTTGCACAATGACCAGTTCCCCAAAGATCAAAGTATCTCTTTGGGGTACAGATGTGGGTTTGGTCTTCCTCCATCTGAGTAGGGAAGAGCCTCACATTTCCCAGTATAGGGAAAACAACTCTGAGCACTGGTCATGTGCAAAAGGGTCCTTTCCGCACCTAAACAGCCATGTCCAACTGAGAAGCTGCCAGGGGACTGAACCTTGAACAGATGGAAACATAAAGCATTTCCTGCTTTTCTTCAGATGGAAACATAAAGCATTTCCTGCTTTCCTTCTCAAAGTACCCAGTAAAACTACATCAACAACAGAGAGAGGGAAACCCAAAGCTATATTTCCAAGACATCTTAACCCAAGAATGCTGTGATACCATAATCTCTTCTGTGTGTATTCACATGGTCCCTTCCCCAGCTCTGCATTTAAGATCAGTAGTTATTTATACTACTGGTGAATCAGATAAAGAAAACAGCCCAAGAGAAAATCATTTAGTGCCAACCTTCTTTATGTCCCTAAGATGTCTCACTGTAGGGTCAGAGGCACAGGACTGTTTCAAACCCAACTTAGACCCACATCTACATCACTGTTACAGCACAGATGGGGAGCACATTGCTCCTGAAGGTCCAAATCACCTCATTTACTGTGCTTCAGTTCAGTGGGGAGCAGTCTCATAGTAAGTAATTTCTGGATTTTTTTTTTTCCCCACTGAAACTAAGCCCAAGAATACTCCTAATGTGTGTTAATCTTTAAGAGGCATTACGCCTATGGCAAGACTAAAACTAGAACGATATAAAAATGTCCAAAATTTGCAATATGAACGTCAGGTCCCTCACACCTGAAATTCCCCCGGCGGATCCACTCATCTTGCTCCTCACCACTTGCTGCTTTGCACAGTCAAAATCTGTCATGAAACCACATCCTAACTAAATGCATAAACAATGCAAGGCCACTGAATTCCTGTCAGCTGATGGCAGGGTTGCAGTTCCAAGCTGTTACAAAACTGAACAAGGAACGAGTACAATTAACTAATGAAGATCACGAATTCTACACATATTTTACAGCACAGCCTTCAGTAAGTCAGTGGTTTTGAGTCACACCATACAGAAGAGCAGATACTTCACTGAGCTGAGCCACGCAGAGCCATCACATTTGTGTTCAATGTGGAGGACTTGGTAACAGTTGCACCACAAGGGCTACTGAAAGCATTAAGCATCACAAGTAAGATGTTTTACCTTCATGGCAGCTCAAAAGGAGGTCGGGTGCCTCCTGTAAGGCCTCAGGAATGGCGGTGACACACAGCAGAGCCATTTCTACCTGTGCTTCCTCCCAGGGGAGCCACACCAGTCGTGCCAGCTCCAGTCCTGATAAACAGCTCTGTACCAAAGCAGCCACTCTGTTTCCTGCTCCTGAAGCTTTGATCCCTTGTGCCAGCCAAGCAAACTCTGCTGCCACAAGGAAGGGATGTGGCAGAGGAGGTTCTCTGCAGTTTGAGAAAATGCTGACCTCATCTATGCAAATATTGACTTACGGTCCTGTTTTAAGCAAAGTGCCTTGAGCCATCAGAATTCTCTAATTAGTTTATAATAATACATAATGCCAATGGAACTGCAATGTTTTCATGCCATTCTGTGTACATTTTCTTTCATGCGTACACAATTAATTCCCAATTTGCTGTAAGCTGATTATTTCAGTTGTAGATTATTTCAAAGACAAAAAACCTAAATCTGTACACCTTATTAATTCTGGTTGCTGGGCAAACAAACAATCCTTTCAAGGACTAAAGATGCCTCCAATACACACAAATACAGTGTTGGACCCAAGCTGATCCTACACAAAACCAGCTCAGCTGTGTCCACCCAGTTTCTGGAAGCACCACGAACACCCTGCTGTCACCCAGTGGGAACTCAGTTTGGATGCCAACAGGATTTGCTGTTTGAAGCAACTTCATGATGAAGTGATTATGAGCCTTCACAGTCACCTCAACACACACCCCACACCTCAGAAGGCTCAGCAGTTTGAAGCAACATTAGATGAGTGATGGCAATGAGCCACCACGACTGCAGGTCAGGCCAAATTCCCAACAAGCAGCTTCCCACTTCCCCAGCACAAGAGCTGAGCAGTCAGAGCACCATCCCCACCTGAGCCAACATCCATAGTGCTGTGCTGGGGCAGATCAGTCTGCCAGTCCCAACTCTCATTCCTCTATAAGATTAAAAAAAACACCCTCTTTTAGAAGGGAATTTAATATATCATTTTTCTGGAACACAGTATCTTCCTATCACAAGTAACTACCAAAAAGGTGTTGGACGCGTGTGATGGTTTACAAGATCTGGTAAAAACTTAAGAAGTACTCTCCAGTGCTTACATTGTGCATCCAGTGCTGTAAAGAAGGCTTTTAGGAAAAAAAAAAAAAAATTAAGTCAGAATAAATACACATCACAGAGAAAACCAACAATGACAACCAAGCCACAAAAAGGCAACAAAACAACTTCGAAACATCTTGTTTAAGTCTCACAATATCCAGCATCTCATTTGGGTCTTTGTTTCCCCAAACTCCAGCATCAGCAACCCAGCTACTGTCAGCTTCCTATTTTGATTAAACACTGTGCACTCCAAAGGAAAAAAATTACCATTGGAAGAGGGGAAGGAACAAGCTGGAATAAAAGCTAGTTCTATCATTTTCCTGAAGTATGGGGTCCCACCACATTTTATCTTTCTAATGACAACTGAGACCTTATTTCACCCTTCCAGTACATAAAGGGGGCTTGTAAGAGAGATGGAAAGACTTTTTCCCACGGTCTGTTGTGACAGTACAGGGGGCACTGGCTTTAAACTGAAAGAGGGGAGATTTAGATTGGACATAAGCAAGAAATTCTTCAGTGTGAGGGTGGTGAGACACTGGCACAGGTTGCCCAGAGAAGCTGTGGATGTCTCAGGACAGGCTGGATAGGACTTTGAGCAATGTGGTCTAATGGAAAGTGTCCCTGCCCACGGCAGGGGGTTGGATTGGATGATCTTTAAAGGTCCCTTCCAACTGAAACCATTTTGTGATTCAGGCACAAAAATCTTTTAATGATATTTTACCTATGTGTTAAATAGACCACACAAACAAATGAATGTATTGGTAACTGGCTTTAGCATATTCTCTTTCAGAAACGTCCCTATGACTTTCACAGATTTCTTGTGATCCACAAGATCTCTCAGATCCCTCACTGAAGTTTCTTACACTTTTCATTTTATGTTTACAGCTGACAGGAAAGTCTACAGAAGTTGGCCAAACTGAAATTAATTTCAGCCACTGAAAGTCTCAAAAATATCTTCTTGCTGCTGTGCCACTGACACCCCAATCATGAACCCTCAGACAATATAATCCCTAGCCAGCTCCAAGTACTGTCAAAAGACTGGGATAAGGCAACTTGTGTAAAGTTCAGTTTTTTTCTGTCCATCCTGCAGTGACTGCTGTTTTTCCTTAATCCTTCTGTAACTTGCTCTATGCTGCATTATCCCGTTCTAGCACAAACATTTTCTGCTTAAAGCAACAATCTCTCTGCATACATAGTTTGGCTAAAAAAAAAAAGGGAAACAAAAACAAAAATAGCAGTCTACCCTTGAGACAGTCTAAAAAGCCAGGAGACTTGGTTCTGTCAGCACATCTGGAAGCTGCCTTGGATCCGCCTGGCACTTCTAGATTGAGTAAGGCAATGGTGCATGCTCCAAGAAATGACTCACCACGCATTTTTAATAAAAAGTTCATGTTGAATTTTACAGCCCAGTAAGGCTGAAATAATTAGGACAATGAACAACTGAAAACAGTTTAAAATGTATGCTCTTCCTCCCAAATTATTTCAACTAATGAGAAACTCGTTGTAGTTTAACAGCAGCCATCTCAAACGGCAGCTTCTCGCGCTGGCTCAGGTACAATTAGCAGGATACTTTGAGAATGAAACTAAACAGCCCAGCAGAAACTCTGCCCTGCAGCCTGGCCTGAGAGATGCAAACCACATAGGCCTCATTTTCCTACTCCAGGCTCCTGTAATTTTCTGGAGCGCATTATAGTGCCTAACGTTGTGTGTGACAGAACACAACTGAAAATTAAACGTTTGACAATTTTCACTTTGCTAAAGCAACTCATCTCCACACATACCCTCAAAATTCCACAATGGCACCCTGCAGATGATATGACACCATTATCAGCCAGCTGGGGAAAAAAAGCGTTTTAGGGATATACTCCTCACTGCAAGTTTATTAAATCAACTCCAGAAGACTCATCCATCATGTCTCCTACAGAAGGAGGACATGTTATCAGAAATACCTGTCTTAAACTCAGTCATAAACTTAATAAATATTACAACTGTAGATTTGATTCAGTCCCTCACTTGTATGAGTGGGAACTGCCAGGCTCCTCTCTTCACAGCAGGAGAAGACATGAAATGGGAAGTATTAGAGTAAAATCTCTACCACCAACTATTTATTTGATACTACCATTGATTTATAAGGACAAAAGAGGTCAAAATGTTTTGCCTGGGAAGTGATGTTAAGCAGAAAGAGGTGGTTTGTACTACTTGTTATTTCTCTCAGTCTGAACTGAGCTCACCGCAAGAAACCAGCCTGGAAATGAGAGGTGACACGAGCAGGAAAGGCAGCAAAACTCTTCACAAGCAGAAGGGGAAAGAATGCTACTAATTCACCATGCAGGGAAAACCAGGGATCTTAGAGGGCACAGGGGACTGCACCCTAAGAAAAACATACCAGGTTTTCTGAAGTCATGACTCAGACACTGTTCCATATATAGATTTACGCCTCTTCCTCTGTTCTTTCCCTGAAGTTAATTTTATAACATCTACTTGGCAAAACATTCAAGGTGAGTCACAAAACACCAAATTACAAAAGCTGCTAAGACAAAGTCATGCCAAAAAACCTCTGAAGAACAAAAGGATCATACTGTATTTAGATTTAGCTCAAATCCGAAGCACCAAATAAGCAGTGAAAGTACCACAGGGTCAACATATTTATAGTTTTTCCCTTAAAGCCTCCACTAGATAATTAGCTAACCAAAAAAAACACCACCATTTGAAGCTGAAGACTGTTGCTTATAGCAGATTTTTTCTACAAAATCATTCCCACTCCAAAAAAAAAAAAAAAGTATTTGAATTTTTAAAAAGTTTCCTTCCTACAATATCAGAACCCTATGTTTCTACAAAAGCTTCAGCTCCTCCTGTAGATTTTTCTCAGGATTCTCCTAGCCAAAAAGGACATCATGATCATAGCTCCAGGTTATAAATTCATGAGTTACAAAAATAAGAAAGTCTCTGAGAGCCTTCTGGGTTTAAACCAAAAGAAAACTCCTTTCACGCTCTGCAAAAATGCAGAAATGCTTTGACAGACAGCCTACAATTTGGCACGTATCTAATTCTGAATGATAATTAGTGCTTGTGCAAACAAGGCAAGAATCTGGCTTTGAAATAAATTTATGGAAACTTAAAAGCATCATTCGGAGCATGCACAAAGTGTTCCCTTCATCTCTGAAAACAGACATGATGCAAGAGTCTGAATGGTCCCAGATTGGGATCTTGCAAAAACCACAAAATATGCTTAGCATTAAAACAGGGACAAATGTTCCTATCTGAGTCCATGCTGTCAGGACAGTCCATAATAATTGTGGCATTAATAAAGTTAATTAACTTTTCAGTGTGGACATTTTAATCAATACAGTCAACTGAAGTGTTGGATTGAAAAGCACAGAAAGAAATCCTTACGCAACGGATTCTTACAAAAGCAAGTTAAAACAGCAAATGCTCAAGAGCACCCAACAACCTCAGTCAGATAGTTTTAAAGAAGATAAAATAATTTCATTAGCTGAATCATGTTCTAAAAGTTCAGAGATCAATTCTTTAAATACCCACTTGTAACACGGATTTAGAAGGATTTAAATGATTTTTATTTAAACAATTTTTATTAAGATCATGACTTCAACCTGCATAGCCTGCAGTGCATCCAATCACTGGAAAACAAAGTTTGAAAGGATCTCTGGAGGTTATTTATTCCAACCTGTCCAGAGCAAGGTTAATCTCAAAGTCAAACCAGGTTGCTCAAGAGATTGTCCAGCTAAATTTTAAAAGCCTTGAAAGGATGAAGATAAAATAGCCACCCTGGGCACCTTTTCTGATACTCAATTCTCATAATGACTTTTCCACACTATATTCACCAGGAGTTACCACTGTCCTCATTTGCAGCCATTGAATTACAACTTTTCACCGTGCCTCCAAGGAGAGTACATCATTCCCTTCTCCAGGCTATACCAACTCCTT